CGCTGCCTGCAGGAGAGACAGCCCAGGCTTCTCCCTGGCCGGAGTGGGGGATGGGACGGGAAGGGGGGCCATGCACGGCCAGGGTCCCGCACAGGGGGACATGGCTCCAAGCAGGCCAGCGACTCTTCAAGGGGCCTGCCCCGGCACCCCCAGCTTGGGGGATTCAGGCTCCCAGTAAGTGTTGCACCGTTCAGCCCCCCAGGGCAGCGCTAGGCTCTGTGGCCCTCAGGCTGTGTCCAGACTGCAGGGTTCTGCCGACAAAACTAGACCTGTGTCCACACGGCAGATCTGTCGACAGCTGTAACCTCGTTCTACGCGAGTAATCTTCAAGGGGCCTGCCCCGGCACCCCCAGCTTGGGGGATTCAGGCTCCCAGTAAGTGTTGCACCGTTCAGCCCCCCAGGGCAGCGCTAGGCTCTGTGGCCCTCAGGCTGTGTCCAGACTGCAGGGTTCTGCCGACAAAACTAGACCTGTGTCCACACGGCAGATCTGTCGACAGCTGTAACCTCGTTCTACGCGAGTAACGGCCTCTGTGGCCGGAGCTCTGGCGCGAGAAGGCGCCGCTGCAGCTCCACTGCCATGGCGACACGCGGGTCGCCCTGGCACAGAACCTGCAGTCACAGACGCACCCGCAGAGCCAGCAGGTTGCCAGGTGGCTTCAACAAACAGCCCGGAGACGCCTGACATGACGCCACACTCGCCATTCCACCGTCGGTAGAAACCACCCGCCCGCTCTGTTTTCTCAACGTGTTTCCCAACCAGAAAGCTCAAATACTGGACTGACCGGTTCAACCCGGACACCGGGCCACCCTCATGGGCCCCTCCCGCGTGGGCCAGCAAGGCCTTTGCTGGATCCCCTGCCTGGCCGGGGGGAGGGAGGGGCGCTGGAAAAGGGCCTGGATTCGGGGCAGAGCGATGGCTGACGCTGTTTGTGGCCAGTGCGGGATATCGGCTCCCCGGGCCCGGACGCTGCCCAGAAGCCAGACGCGGCGCAGTGGGCTGGCTGGCCCAGGCTCTGTCTGGGATTGAAGAACCGCACAGCTGGGGCCAGGACAGAGCGTCCTGGGGGCCCGAGGGG